CCCCCCACATGATGGCGTGATCAGCGCGCATGCGCGGTGCGCCTGAGAATGGTGGCAGATGGCGGGAGATAAGACCTGACCCCCCACCCTTGGGGGCCGGTAACCCAAGACCTGAGGACACGCGAACACTTTGGCGCTCTTAGAATTTACCTCGGAATTAAGAAAAAGGGGCAAAGGAGGCAATGGCGGGCCATTACGTCACGGGCATTGTTGATCGAACGTAGCTGCCGGCCGTTTTCTTCAATTATTTTTTATTTAATTTTCTATAATGTGGGTTTTTTCCACGCCCACATCGACACCGTTTAGATCATTCTGGAGGCGGACTTTTGACCCTGCGTGTCAGAGCCAACCACTGCTGAGGAGAGGGATACAAGTTCTCAGCAAAAAAGACCGGGATACTCGATAGAAAAATTTCCCCCACTCGGGAATCGAACTCCGGTCTGCTGCGTGCGATAACCAAGCGCTTAACTGCTACACTACAGGCTCTGGTCCAGTCATATTCAACAGGTTGTTGTTGTTGTTTTGTCCCATTGAGCTTAGTTGTGTTTACTTAATTAAAGAGAAGAGGTAAATGCAGATCCTAGCTCTTTATGACATATATGTTTCTCTTTGTCTGGCTTACTTTTTAGCCTGTTATTGTGAACTTAAATGTTTTGTTCTTTTTTTTAAAATGAAGTGGGATTTTATTTAAATGCGTCAGTAGAGCTTCAAATAACAACAGTGTGTCCACAAAGACGTGTCGAGATTTGAAAGAATTATTGTATTCGCTTTATAAATCTTAATGAATTGTGCATACTTGAACACTTGTACTCTTTTGAAATTATTTAATTTAAATTGATATAATTAACAAATTCTTGTTTTCGAAATAGCATATTATTCGCTCGATACAGAAATAGAGCCAAGTGACCTTAAACAAACTCTCTTTGGCTCACAGATAAGTAATGGTTCAGATTTCAACCACATGATAAAAATGTTTAAAACACGTGAATTCCATGGAAAAGGAACACTGTCTGGGCGTCATAGGCGTCGAACAGCGAGAAAGCTCGAGAACCCGCAACCCAGCCGGTGTCTAAATACTTGTGTCTACATTCACCCCACCCCCCTCCTCAAAAAAATGAAAACAGTAAGATAAATAAATAAATACCAAAAGAACATGAACAAACAAGCATCCCTACCC